CTCTGTCTATCAGATCTAGTCCCTTAAATCTATTTCTCACTTCCACTGTATAGTCATAAGGGATTTGATTTAGGTCATACCTGAATGGTCTAGTGGTTTTCTCCACTTTCTTCAATTTAAGTCTGAATTTGGCAATAAGGAGTTCATGATCTGAGCCACAGTCAGCTCCAGGTCTTGTTTTTGCTGACTGTATAGAGCTTCTCCATCTTTGGCTGCAAAGAATATAATCAATCTGATTTCAGTGTTGGCCATCTGGTGATGTCCATGTGTAGAGTCTTCTCTTATGTTGTCGGACTGATGCTTAGGGAAGCTAAATAACCTGCCAGGGGTCACATGTCATCGGAAAGTGGCAGGGGTAGGATTTGAACCCAGATCTAAGTCCAAATCCCGTGGTTTGTCTCCTGTGCTAACGGAGTCTGTATTTCTCCATTCCTTCCTTTCACAAATCTTTACTGTCTTTGCTCCACCAAGCTGTGTGCAAGGCACTGGGAACTCAGAGATGAACAGGGCATTTTCTGCCCTCCAGGGACAGGCGGGGGGTTGCCAGGATGAGCAGAGCTACAGTGCAACATGACGGCAGTCATAGTGACAGGTCCCTGGACAGATAGGCGGAGATGCATCCCATCCGGGAGGTGGGGAGGGTCTGGAAAGGCTTCCTGGAGGTGACTCCCATGGAGATGAATACGCGCAAGTGTTTGGTCCGGTGAGAATGACAAAGATTTAAAAAAAAAAAAAAAGCCCAGCTAAGACTCAAGGCACAGAGGAGTTTACTCAGAGGGATCCATGCTGGGACTGAGGAGGCGTGGTTCTTGAAAAAATGCAGATGCGAAAACTTCTTGCCATTTCCTGTCCCCCACAACCCACCACTTCCTGTTTCAGCAACACTATCTGCGACCTCCGAGGCCCTCCGTTTGGGGCCTCCGTCTGCCCCTCCACAGCACCCGAGCTGCCCCCAACCCCAGAAAAGGCCGCCTCACCTTTGTTCCTCCACCTCCGGATCACTGTCCTGGTTTCTCCAAACAGCTTCACCAGCTTTCCAACCAGCCCTCCAAACTCTCCCCCCTGCAAATCCGTGAAGGCCAAGCCCACACTCTTAGCCACTTTGCTATTCCGACTCTGAACATCAAGTCTCACTGAACCTATCCCCCATCGTGGCACTTAGCCCATCCGTCTGCTCTTAAAACTAGTCATCTGGGGACTTCCCTCCAGTGGTTAGGAATCTGCCTTCCAATGCGGGGGACACAGTTCGATCCCTAGTCCTGGAATATTCCACATGCCAGGGCTTCCCCGGTGGCTCAGCTGGTGAAGAATCTGCCTGCAATGCAGGGGACCTGGGTTTGATCCCTGGGTCGGGGAGATCCCCTGGAGAAGGGAAAGGCTACCCACTCCAGTATTCTGGCCTGGAGAATTCCATGGTCTATAAAGTCCCTGGGGTCTCAAAGAGTCGGACACGACTGAGTGACTTTCCCTTTCACTTTGGGGAATGAAGCCCACACTGCAACCACCGAAGACGGCACGCCCTAGAGCCTGTGCTCGGCAACAGGAGAAGCCAGGGCAACGCACACCACGGTTAGGGAATAGTCCCCGCTCCCTGCAACTAGAGAAACCCAGGCGTAGTAACGAAGACCGGGCACAGTCATAAATAAATAAATAAATAAATAAATAAACAAAAATGAAAACAAAACATGAAAACCCAGGCACCTGGTTTTACCCCCTGACTGTCAGCACCAGGAGAACAGGAGCCAGGCCTTGCTTTCCTTTGTTTTCTCCAAGGGCCTTGCACAATCCTTAGTACACAGTAGGTGCTCACTGAATGCACAGACATCTTGTTCCGCTATCAGGGGGTGTCCTCCTTGAGTGCAGGGCAGAGGAGGCCCTGTTGATCTTATTCATGTACACTTTCCTTGTGCTTCAAGCGGTGCCTGGTGAAACAGGTGCTCCTTAAATGCCTTGTGAAGGTATAAACGAGTGGGCACCGAATGAGGGACTGCCCGTCCCCCTACGACGCTGTGAGTTCCTTAAAGGCGAGGACAACGGCTTTCTCCTCTTTGTACCGTCTGGTAGCACCTGGAAGGCTGCCTGGCTGCCAGAAATCCTCTCCTTGAAACAGCATGACCATCCCTCTGTGAGACAGAAGCACTCACCTTTGCTCGGGCTCTGGAAAGAGCTCGGACAAGGAGATGCCGCAGAGGGCGGCGTAGGTGAAGCGGTTGGCCTCAGTCAGCTCCCGGCCCGCGGGCAGACGTGGCTCCTCCTCCACACCTGGCTCAGCTGCCCGGGGCAGCCTCAGGCCCGACCCGTCTCTTGTGGCCATTTCCAGTCCTGCAGGGAAAAACCCCAGTGAGAAACTGCTTTCAGCAGGTTGGCAAAGCTTCCTTCAACAGGACACAGAAACTACCCATCATAAAAGAAAAAATGGATAAATCAGCCCTCATTCAAATGATAAACTTCTAGTTATCTTTAAGAGACTGGAAGGTAGCTGTGGGGGAGAGGGAAGGGGGGAGATATTTTCTTTCTTTTTTTTTTAATACATTTTTTCCATTTATTTTTATTAGTTGGAGGCTAATTACTTTACAATATTGTAGTGATTTTTGTCATACATTGACATGAATCAGCCATGGATTTACATGTGTTCCCCATCCCGATCCCCCCTCCCGCCTCCCTCCCCATCCCATCCCTCTGGGTCTTCCCAGTGCACCAGCCC